TAAGTTCACATTTTAGTTTCTTGGTAGGAGAAGGTATATTAGTGTGTGCAGTGATGCAGCTTTTCTTATTCGTCTATCTGTCAATTTTCAGCTTTCCCTTAAAATGACTTTCATTTCCAAATTAAAGCAATATTATGTTCTGAGTCTCCATAGATACTTTAGGACCTAGCTAGCGGTACAGATATACAAGCATGCTATTTATCTTGTTGTTTGCAATTGGAAGAGATATGATATGCTAATGCTAATTAAAAACAAATCATCTGATCACTTGCAATGCAACGGGGTCATGATATCTGCCTTATCATAGTTGGATAAAACTCGATTGTATTTCTAAATTACGAATACAAATAAAAATAAGGCATATACAATCAGATTTGTAGAAGCGGTCAAAAATCTTCATCTTCAGATCGATGAGACCTGGACACATACTTGTCTTTTAGGTCCCTTTGATAAAAATCTAACCCTCTTTTAAAGTCACGAAGGTTCAAACGTCGCATCTAAACTAAATATTTAGACTAGATGCATGGTTAAGCATTAATTTGGGTTTAAGAGCATCATATTTGTCCAGATAAATGACGATTTCAAATTTTACACGGGTTCAGTATGCCAAAAATTTATCAGCACCATGAGCAGAACAATTTTATCTAGTGTGACGATTTTAGGCCTGTACATGTACGTGTAGATAGAATTTGGAGAAATGAAAATCACAGTTAAGCAGTACACATCGTTGACATTTCCAAACAAGTCAAACCATTCATGTTGTCGTTTTATGTTATATGTTAAACACATTTGTTATTTGTACCTACATAAAAAGCATATTGTGAAACCAGCTGAAAACAAGAGGATTAGAGCGTATTTAACCCATAATATATTGTTGCCCTGGGCGTTATCCTAATGAAATATGTTTATAACTTTTTTGTTACCTATATCTAAAATAATGTTACATTACCCGTACTATAACGAAAATTCACAGCATTTAAACTTGATTATAACTCTGTTGTACAATTTATTATTATAACTTTTCTTAAAAGCAAAACTATTGTGTGTGTTTTCATGCAGTTTCATAATATAATTTAATTGAATGTTTTACACAAATATCCTTGTAGCTTGGTTAAAACATATCTCATTCCTGTTGTCGCTGCCCGTAACCACCATGACTCTATCTAAACTGGACAGCGGTCACTTTTCTAACATAACATACATAAATCTAATTAATTACAGTGGACAAAACAACAACCAGATATACTTCTGCCGGTCCAATAAAGTGTCTTGATTCCCACTGTGGATATATGAGCTACGACTGCAATCTCCAATGCTTGGAACACAATAACGGGAGTATTTGTAGTGAGTACATTTCAGATATATGTATATATTAGAAAATATTTCACGTTCGTATTTCAACATGGTGATACGCGATAAACTTTTCCAGTTAAACTATTTGGTAGCAGTAAACCGCAGAAATGGCCTGGTTCTTAAAATAAAGGACTTGTCTGAGATACATATGGATAATGGATTCATTTTGCAAAACACATCTACAGATTTAATCATTTATAAACAACCTGTTTTTTTTCCAAATGTTTCCCCTAGATTTGGGACCATAGGTACCACATCACAAATTGCTAAAAATGAACAAAGCATTATTTTTCACCCAACATTTGACCCCCGCAAAAATAATTTAGTTTTGTAAAACGTTTCTTAAGCTAGATATCACGCACTCGGTAAAAACAGTTATATTTTTCAAAAACATTTACACGTGCTGAGTACAAATATAGACTACTTAAAAGCTAGCTTCTGTTGTGAAGACACACATTTGTAAATGGCCAAAACAGTACTTTCAAACCAAATGCCTTTTTTTTCTTGAGCATTTATTCAGCCGCAATAGTCCACTTCATCATGTTTATGCCATATGGTGCTGATTTTTGTTGTAAAGTTTGATAGATGTAGAATTACAGGGTTAATTTATTGAAAAACTACCACTCGTGGCCACCGTCCACTACTGCATACTGCTTCCATTATACACCCAAAAGGATGTCTGGCAAAATCAAACATATATTAATTGATGAGTCAGTCTTTGCACAACTTTGATATTACATATTTCCAAACTTATCGAATAAACGGAATAAACTTATTGAATAAAACGATTTTCAGGGTGTTATTTGACTGAGTAGCCCCTTCAAATCATCCCCAATTCACCACTGGCAAAATATGTAACTATGCTTAGGAAACTTTTCTTTCGGTATGACCTTTGCTTTACTACGGACACTTAACTGATAAATATTTTCGTTTTTACATAATAATGTTGCCTTGTCGTGACACAACACTGCATTTCATGCAAATCTTACATAATCAAAGTTTGCCCAATCTCCATTCCCAGCAAACATTAACTTGTGTTTCAGAGTTTCACAATTGTAGCGGTTCCTATCACTGCTTGAAATCCAATCAGAAGATTCCACACTCGCAAGTATGTGATGGAAGTAACCAGTGTCCCCAGGCCGAAGACGAAAAAGCCTGTAGCACACAAATGGATCCATTTTGTTTGTGCCTTGGATTAAGAATGACCGCTAGTAAAGTTATCCCGTCTGATGCTTTTTTCGACGTCTCCGATAAACCATTACTGTTTAACATGAATTCTCGTGTTTATCCAATCAAAAGCAATCAAAATGTTCTCCTCTTGTCAAAGGCTAAATATATCTCATTTAATAATTTCCGGGATACTATTCCAAAAAACATGTTCAGTATATTTCCTAAGGTGGTACATCTGAATCTATCGTATAGTAATATACAGTATCTTCGGGATGAATTATTTATTGGAATTTCGAATTTGCGTCAACTCGATCTGTCCCATAACAACATCAAACGATTATCTGCTGCCGTGTTTAGTGGAATGTCTTCGCTCCAAATCCTTGATTTATCCTACAATAAGATACGTAATCTCCATGACAACGTTTTTAGTGAGTTGTCTGGTCTTTTATATCTAAACCTTTCTCACAATCGCGAGGATGAGCTGTTTAAAAAGTCACTTCGATCAAGTATATCATATGGTTTCCGTGACAGTAAACACTATAACATACGAGTATTAACATTGACTTCTTCTGTATTCAACGGATTGAATAACCTAATTCACTTGGATTTATCGAGCAATGATTTAGCAAATATCCCTGTTTACTTGTTTGAAGAACTCTCTTCTCTGAAAAACCTTGACCTCACCAACAATTTAATAGGATTTTGGGGTCTCCGTAATAACATGTTCTTTGGCCTTTCTGGTCTAAGAAACCTATATTTATCCCACAATATGATATCTTACTTTCCTGACTATATGTTTAATGGACTATTTAATCTCAGTAATTTAGATTTATCATACAATATTCTATCGGATTCCGCCGACAACCTGTTAGACAGACTGACTAGTCTCTGTGACCTTGACCTTCCCCGTATAAGTCGATCGTTTCTCCACGATCACATGTTCAATGGTCTGAATAGACTAGGACATCTTAATCTATCACACAATGTCATACAGTTAGATCTCCCCTACAGCATCTTCAACGGATTGTCCAGTTTATTAACTCTCGATTTATCATACAATAAAATACAGACTTTCCCTGGTCATGCTTTTGACGGAATTCCATGTGTTGTAAATATCCGCCTCTCTTACAATGGTGTGAAGAATATCTCATTGGAAGCATTCAGGAACCTAGGTAGGCTAAAACACCTTGATTTTTCTCACAATGAGATACTTTTTACTGCCGATCACAAGTTTAACGGATCGTCCAGTTTAAGAAAACTTGATCTATCCCACAATAAGATAGTCTCTATTTTCGACCACATCTTTAGTGAAATGACAAGTCTTACAGTTTTGTATCTATCTCACAATAATATACTGGTTCTGCCTGGTGATACGTTCGATGGATTATTCAATATACAAATTCTGATCATCTCTTACAATCGGTTAACGAACATCTCCACAGAGGCATTCAGTAGACTTTATAACCTTTTAACATTGGATTTGTCCCATAATGACATAACGACAACTCCAACATTCCCATTCAAAGCAAAAATCAGTAAGCTTGATTTATCATATAATGATCTAACATCTTTACAGCCTGGATCGTTCTTCAATTGTCATCGAATGATGTCATTGAACGTAATTGGTAATCCACTTGAGGTCCAAGAACACATGTTCGACGGTTTGGACACGCTAAAGTTTTTATTCACGGATACTCTTTTCGCGTGTTGTGTGAAGCCGAAATCTGTCGGAGACGATAAATGTCTGGCAGCCGAATGTTTCACTTCTTCTTGTGAGGCGGCACAGTCTGACGCAATATCTTCATGTCAGACATTGATACGCTCCGAGGTACTCCGAATATTCCTGTGGATAATTGGGGTTTGTGCTGTAGTCGGGAACGCTATTGTCATTGTATATCGTGTAATTCTCGACAGAGATAACATCACAAAATCTTATTCCGTTTTTGTTCTCAATTTGGGCATATCCGATTTTTTCATGGGAGTTTACCTTTCCATAATTGGTACTGTAGATGCATACTACAAAGGCGTCTACGCGTTAAATGCCACAGAATGGAAAGAAAGCTTGCTATGTTCATTAGCTGGAGTATTGTCAACAGTGTCCAGTGAAATGTCCACTTTTATTGTTCTACTTGTCACCATCGACAGACTAATAGCCATCGTATTTCCAATGTCTCGTCACACGGGCAGAAGCATCACCTGGAAACATGCTACAGTCGTGTGTGTGATCTTGTGGATATTTTCTATAATACTTGCCGTCATTCCAACCTTTTTAGTACAGTCTTATTTTAAGGGTCAATTTTACTCACAATCAGGTGTGTGTCTCGCTCTACCGCTTACAGCTCAGAAACAGACTGGCTCGGAATACTCCGCAGCCGTATTTGTCGGCCTCAACAGCGTTATCTTTGTTGTAATCCTAGTAGGACAAATTGTAATCTTCATTAGCCTTAAGAGGAGACGAAATATTTCTTCTCAAAGTCAAAGGAGGGATTTGGAGGTGGCGAAAACTCTCTTCCTGGTGGTGGCGACTGACTTCTGTTGCTGGTGTCCAATCGGAGTGATGGGTAAGGAAAAGGGAATATCACAGATTCAATATGGTGTTAGCTAAAGAAGAGACCCGGATGTATGTTCACATTTTTTTTTTTAATTTAATAAAATGTTTTTTGTGATCAAATTTGATTGAAATATCATTCACTACCCGAATTTACTTATGTATTTTTTAAGTGCTCTCGCTTTAAGTAATATTGTCTATTAGGAATAAAACCTATTTAATATGTGGACAAAGGTAATTCGACAAATAGTGCCATTTCATCATAAAATTTAGTTTATTGGTTGAAAGGCTTAAACACATTGTAACTATGAATTGCAGGATATCGACATGGAGAAAAACCCAAAAAGCAAAAATATCAATATCTGTGAATTTCAAAGGGAAATATAAAACTGTTAACATAGATTTATATTTCACAACAAACTTTAGCGTAAATTTACATAAAAGTAATTAGATATTTTGATTTATCTACTGATCTAACGTTCCAGGTGTGATGTCCTTGTACGGTTTCCAAATCCCTGATTATGTGTACGCGTGGGTGATGGTGTTTGTGTTGCCGGTGAACGCTGCCGTCAATCCTTTCCTGTATACCCTAACTTCAATATGGAGGCGCAGACGAGCCAATACTGTAAGTACTCTTTTGATTAACAAATAAATGTCACGACACGTTTTATCATTTGGCTGATCAATCTTTGATAAGGACATTCATACAGTTTTATTTACATTCAGTATTACACAGGTGACCTCATTACATTAGGCATTAATAAATTGAGCAACATTTCTTAACTCATTCACCCCTGAAGGCACATATTAACTCTTACAGTTCAAAAGTTGGAAGAGTTCATTATGAAAATTCAGGGGTGAATGAGTTTATAGAGATGTAGTGTTTTTATCGTCCACCGTGAAGCCGAACTTAGGACATTGTCATTATACTAGTTTAAATGAACTTTAAAAAGCATTGCAGTCATGTAAATGTTATATTAAGGTATTTCAAATATATTATTTTAACGTTTTATGTGTATTGTTCTACCAATTACATTTTGAAAATGGATATTCAGGTGCTCTATTGCCATGCTGTTGCTAGGACCTCAAAAGGAAGTTACCTGATTCCAATGAAAACGCCATGTTCCCTTTGTTGCGTTTCTCCAAGCATAACTGAAGAAAAATGTCCGCATTTTTATTTGTACTTACATCGCTAACTTAAAAGCATTAAAATGTAAATATGAGGAATGGATTTTATTTCTTCAACATTCATGGGGTCATAACACATTACATTTCTGGTCATATTTACAATAAATCGCCACCACATCGAACAATCCAAAACTGTCATGACCTCATAAATGTTGACGAGAACAACTCCACTACTTAATTAATTGTGGCAAATTACAAAACACGTAGAATATCAATTGTTTGTATAACATATCATAGAATGCGTACTTAAGATAAGTAAACCAAAAACAGTAAGATATTTAGGAGGCACGGTAGTCTAGTGGTAGGACGCCGGGCTCGTGATCGAATCTATTGCCTTCATCACCTGGGCGAACGTTCAACATTAAGTGTTTTTCACGCAAATCGCTAGGAAATAAAAGGAAAAGGTAGATAGAAATTGAAAGAAATATAAAGACCCCAAATTATGTAGTGGGTGCAGCAGATATATTTTGGTCGCTTTTGTGTCCCCAAGTAGAGGGAACAAAAGAAAATCCCCAATTCTGCAGGGGGTTCATACATTAGACGCCTCTTAAGATACATGCAGTAGATAACAGCAGGCGTATTTCTTCTCGATTGCCTACTTGCATGTTAATAACCTATAGTAGCAATTATAAAACGCGTCTGATTAAGTTATGGTTAAAACTAATGGTAAAACTCATTGTAAGTACTAGAGCTATAGTTAGTAATCAATGGTAGAAATGGTATGATGTGTTTTGTTTTTGTTAAACGCATAGTTTATAACTAATGATACAACTCCAAGGAAGTGAGTTATTGTGAAATGTATACTTAATGGTATAATGAGGACTTGGATTATAGTATATGTATTAAAAAGAGTTTAAAAAATAAATTATTTTTATGCGAACATATTCCGTCTTTTCGTGTTGCAGTTTAAACGATTTAATCTTGACATTTGTGTCAACACGACGCTTTTGTCTAGCAAGTGTTTATTCCGTCTTTTCGTATTGCAGAGTTATCTGCTCTTGTGAGCAGGCATTGCTTGTTATGTCATTTGTTTGTGAGAGTAACGTCTTCATTTTTTTTTTTAAAAAGGTCGTAAATTTCTCACACAAATCAATGACGTAACAATGAATGCCTGCGCACAAGAGAAGATAACTCTGCAATACGAAAAGACGGAATATGTTCGCATAAAAATAATTTATTTTTAAACTGTTTTTAATACATATACTATAATCCAAGTCCTCATTATACCATTAAGTATAAAATTTCACAATAAACACTTGTTAGACAAAAACGTTGTTTTGACACAAATGTCCAAATAAAAATCGTTTTAACTTTTGGCAACAATTGCATTTCGTTAAGGCATCGAGAACAACTACAATTCCGCTCCAGATACGAACAACTATGGCCATACCCGGGGCAAACGCCTGACACAAAACGGGAACCAGAATACACAATGTTGGTAAGGCGATGATGTCTTCATGGTACTACAGTTCAGATATTATGGAAAGCCGACTTTTGTTTTTAGACTTGATATTATATCAAACGTTAAAACATTGTACATGTAATTATGATATAAAATAAAACATATTTCCAATGATCAAAACATTGATATATAGAGTTTTGTCTTGTTTGGATACAAATTAGTACGATAAATAATATTTCCAATCATAAAAATAATGAAACAAATTTTAAATGATGTTTTAAAATAAAGATGTGTCACATTAATAAGCTTGATTAATAATATTCTGTAAAATCCTAAATTTTCGAGGGACATCAAATTTCGTTTATTTCGTGGATAACAAAATCCACCAAATTATATCCCCACGAAAACATAAATTTAGTATGATATAGATCGGGGGAAATCAGAAATCAGCGAAATAAAATGTCCTTGAAACAGGCTAGTATATGAAAACCACGAAATGTTAACCCCACGAAAATAAATGATTTTACAGTATACACGGAAATACTTAAACCCTTTTTTTGCCATATTTCAGGATTCCGTCATTATTTTTGCGTGCGGCTCTTGGCGCTGGGACGATTTGGACCATTTTTATCCCTTAACCGTATAGGAAAGTTAGATAATCGAGTTGGTCGACATCATTTCGAGATATTAACATCATATTGCATAATGTGTTATAGATTATTTGTATTTTCAGGTGTGTTGTCGTCTCTAGGCATAACGTTATGTTAACATGTATAGTTATTTAAATTAGATAACCCGATGTCACCTGATCCTTTAAGGTCACATCATTATTTCATTAAAAATGAGAGAGAGAGAGAGAGAGAGAGAGAGAGAGAGAGAGAGGGATGTGTTGAAATGAAACTATTCAGTATGTGACTTGGAAGTAATTATTGTTATCTTTATCATCGTAATTTGGTAGGAAAGGGTATTCCCCAAAACGCCGTGGTTTGCCTAATTCCGCATAAGCATGCTTACGTGCGTAAGAGAGAGATATCCAGATCTTGTTTGTTTCTTATATATAAACGTTTATATTTAATCATAAAATTGGTATTATAGTATCATTTTCGCCCCTATCATCATGTTTGTTTTATATATATAAAATAGCATTATCAACTTTAATATGAAAAGGCAAAGTCTTAAAAGAGCGTAGGTTTTGTTGATCTCTGATATTTATTGATTCAGAATACAACTTTCAGAACAGGATAAAAATATACTTTATTTAAAGTCGGCTAGTCGAGAGATAACAATAAAACACAAGCTCTAATTAGATTTAGACCGACATAACAATAGGGAGACCGGGTTTAGTTCAACCTTTTTTATATTAAAGTCCGTTTTATGAAGTATGGCAGCACGTCCGTTTTTTACCATTATTTAACTTTTCCTATCGGAAGGTCGGATGGCCGAACGAGCCCGCCAGGGGGTAAGTTCGGACAGGCATTCGGATAAGTTTGACCCCCATTCGAATCAGCTTAATTATGACGTCATAAAGCATGCAACGTCAGATTTTAACTACATGAACCGACCTTACCAGAGTATTATTTGTCGAACCTGTTCGGGCCCAAATTGATATTTCAATAAATTCTTATCGTACAGCAATATGGTAGTGAGTGATTGGCTTTGCTTTTATGTATCATCATTTGAAGCTGTCGGTGTATTACACGTTTGACTGTAAAAAAGTTCCAATTCCGTTTCAAAAAATTCTAGAAGCGAGATCATGATTCTCTTTCTACCCTCTCAAAAGTAATTTTCTAAGTCATTTCACATTAGAGTTTTCCTCGCCATTTTTTTTGTCGTTGAATGCCCAGCCAACTAAACTGCTGAAATCCTTAAAATTGTAAATATTAGCTCAAAACCCAAAAATATCAGGGATAGGCGAACTTGCCCCGGTCTCCCGTATGTAGATTTGTTATATCATTGATGATTGGTAAAAATGTATTCACAATAAAACTTTTGCATCTATGACGTCATGCATGTTCTTCTAGTCGAAGCTAAAGTAAATATTTGTTCTTGTGCGTAACCAGAGACGTACATACAACAGAGACCTACATACAACAGAGACGTACATACAACAGAGACGTATAAACTACAGAGACGTACATACTACAGAGACGTACATACAACAGAGACGTATATATTACAGAGACGTACATACAACAGAGACGTATATATTACAGAGACGTACATACAACAGAGCCGTATATATTACAGAGACGTACATACAACAGAGCCGTATATATTACAGAGACGTACATACAACAGAGACGTATAAACTACAGATACGTACATACAACAGAGACGTATATATTACAGAGACGTACATACAACAGAGACGTATAAACTACAGAGACGTACATACTACAGAGACGTATATACAACAGAGACGTACATACTACAGAGACGTACATACAACAGAGACGTATATACAACAGAGACGTACATACAACAGAAAGGTATAAACTACAGAGACGTACATACTACAGAGCCGTACATACAACAGAGACGTACATACAACAGAGACGTACATACAACAGAGACGTACATACAACAGAGACGTACATACAACAGAGACGTACATACAACAGAGACGTACATACAACAGAGACGTACATACAACAGAGACGTACATACAACAGAGACGTACATACAACAGAGACGTACATACAACAGAGACGTACATACAACAGAGACGTACATACAACAGAGACGTACATACAACAGAGACGTACATACAACAGAGACGTACATACAACAGAGACGTACATACAACAGAGACGTACATACAACAGAGACGTACATACAACAGAGACGTACATACAACAGAGACGTACATACAACAGAGACGTACATACAACAGAGACGTACATACAACAGAGACGTACATACAACAGAGACGTACATACAACAGAGACGTACATACAACAGAGACGTACATACAACAGAGACGTACATACAACAGAGACGTACATACAACAGAGACGTACATACAACAGAGACGTACATACAACAGAGACGTACATACAACAGAGACGTACATACAACAGAGACGTACATACAACAGAGACGTACATACAACAGAGACGTACATACAACAGAGACGTACATACAACAGAGACGTACATACAACAGAGACGTACATACAACAGAGACGTACATACAACAGAGACGTACATACAACAGAGACGTACATACAACAGAGACGTACATACAACAGAGACGTACATACAACAGAGACGTACATACAACAGAGACGTACATACAACAGAGACGTACATACAACAGAGACGTACATACAACAGAGACGTACATACAACAGAGACGTACATACAACAGAGACGTACATACAACAGAGACGTACATACAACAGAGACGTACATACAACAGAGACGTACATACAACAGAGACGTACATACAACAGAGACGTACATACAACAGAGACGTACATACAACAGAGACGTACATACAACAGAGACGTACATACAACAGAGACGTACATACAACAGAGACGTACATACAACAGAGACGTACATACAACAGAGACGTACATACAACAGAGACGTACATACAACAGAGACGTACATACAACAGAGACGTACATACAACAGAGACGTACATACAACAGAGACGTACATACAACAGAGACGTACATACAACAGAGACGTACATACAACAGAGACGTACATACAACAGAGACGTACATACAACAGAGACGTACATACAACAGAGACGTACATACAACAGAGACGTACATACAACAGAGACGTACATACAACAGAGACGTACATACAACAGAGACGTACATACAACAGAGACGTACATACAACAGAGACGTACATACAACAGAGACGTACATACAACAGAGACGTACATACAACAGAGACGTACATACAACAGAGACGTACATACAACAGAGACGTACATACAACAGAGACGTACATACAACAGAGACGTACATACAACAGAGACGTACATACAACAGAGACGTACATACAACAGAGACGTACATACAACAGAGACGTACATACAACAGAGACGTACATACAACAGAGACGTACATACAACAGAGACGTACATACAACAGAGACGTACATACAACAGAGACGTACATACAACAGAGACGTACATACAACAGAGACGTACATACAACAGAGACGTACATACAACAGAGACGTACATACAACAGAGACGTACATACAACAGAGACGTACATACAACAGAGACGTACATACAACAGAGACGTACATACAACAGAGACGTACATACAACAGAGACGTACATACAACAGAGACGTACATACAACAGAGACGTACATACAACAGAGACGTACATACAACAGAGACGTACATACAACAGAGACGTACATACAACAGAGACGTACATACAACAGAGACGTACATACAACAGAGACGTACATACAACAGAGACGTACATACAACAGAGACGTACATACAACAGAGACGTACATACAACAGAGACGTACATACAACAGAGACGTACATACAACAGAGACGTACATACAACAGAGACGTACATACAACAGAGACGTACATACAACAGAGACGTACATACAACAGAGACGTACATACAACAGAGACGTACATACAACAGAGACGTACATACAACAGAGACGTACATACAACAGAGACGTACATACAACAGAGACGTACATACAACAGAGACGTACATACAACAGAGACGTACATACAACAGAGACGTACATACAACAGAGACGTACATACAACAGAGACGTACATACAACAGAGACGTACATACAACAGAGACGTACATACAACAGAGACGTACATACAACAGAGACGTACATACAACAGAGACGTACATACAACAGAGACGTACATACAACAGAGACGTACATACAACAGAGACGTACATACAACAGAGACGTACATACAACAGAGACGTACATACAACAGAGACGTACATACAACAGAGACGTACATACAACAGAGACGTACATACAACAGAGACGTACATACAACAGAGACGTACATACAACAGAGACGTACATACAACAGAGACGTACATACAACAGAGACGTACATACAACAGAGACGTACATACAACAGAGACGTACATACAACAGAGACGTACATACAACAGAGACGTACATACAACAGAGACGTACATACAACAGAGACGTACATACAACAGAGACGTACATACAACAGAGACGTACATACAACAGAGACGTACATACAACAGAGACGTACATACAACAGAGACGTACATACAACAGAGACGTACATACAACAGAGACGTACATACAACAGAGACGTACATACAACAGAGACGTACATACAACAGAGACGTACATACAACAGAGACGTACATACAACAGAGACGTACATACAACAGAGACGTACATACAACAGAGACGTACATACAACAGAGACGTACATACAACAGAGACGTACATACAACAGAGACGTACATACAACAGAGACGTACATACAACAGAGACGTACATACAACAGAGACGTACATACAACAGAGACGTACATACAACAGAGACGTACATACAACAGAGACGTACATACAACAGAGACGTACATACAACAGAGACGTACATACAACAGAGACGTACATACAACAGAGACGTACATACAACAGAGACGTACATACAACAGAGACGTACATACAACAGAGACGTACATACAACAGAGACGTACATACAACAGAGACGTACATACAACAGAGACGTACATACAACAGAGACGTACATACTACAGAGACGTACATACAACAGAGACGTACATACAACAGAGACGTACATACAACAGAGACGTACA